AGCACACCAAAAAGTCGATTTTCATTTCAGTGTAATATCAGCATTTTGTATGCAGGACCTGTGACGTGTTATCGGTTAATAAAATCAAGAAAACATCTGATGACCTTGTCATTTCAGAAAAAAAGACCATAGAACTAGACTATCATTTGCTAATTTAAAAATGGATTTCATCTCGTATGTCTTATAATATGTAACGGTTCATTGTGATTTTTCAAACACACTTCTCATTGTGTAAAATTTTACCCAGTCTACATATCAGTATTACATCGGAATGCATGGCAACAATAGAATATTTTTTGTCTCGTTGCGTGACAACAGTAACATAGATGATCGTACTTTCATTTTTAATAGAGACAGTCTACAAATTTTGTTTGGCCATAGCCTTCAAGGTCAGGTAGAGATTTCGCCGAATCTAGCGTTAAATACCGTCCAGCTCCAGGTGGTGACGTAATTCTTGTGCCCTGTTAACCGTAAGTCCCTAAGGTACAACAACATATATAACTGTAGACTGAGAGATCTCCGGGTTAAATATAGTTTGTGTTGACGTAATTCTCGTGCCCTGTTAACCGTAAGTCCCTAAGGTACAACAACATATATAACTGTAGACCGAGAGATCTCCGGGTTAAATATAGTTTGTGTTGACGTAATTCTCGTGCCCTGTTAACCGTAAGTCCCTAAGGTACAACAACATATATAACTGTAGACCGAGAGATCTCCGGGTTAAATATAGTTTGTGTTGACGTAATTCTCGTGCCCTGTTAACCGTAAGTCCCTAAAGTACAACAACATATATAACTGTAGACTGAGAGATCTCCGGGTTAAATATAGTTTGTGTTGACGTAATTCTCGTGCCCTGTTAACCGTAAGTCCCTAAAGTACAACAACATATATAACTGTAGACTGAGAGATCTCCGGGTTAAATATAGTTTGTGTTGACGTAATTCTCGTGCCCTGTTAACCGTAAGTCCCTAAGGTACAACAACATATATAACTGTAGACCGAGAGATCTCCGGGTTAAATATAGTTTGTGTTGACGTAATTCTCGTGCCCTGTTAACCGTAAGTCCCTAAGGTACAACAACATATATAACTGTAGACTGAGAGATCTCCGGGTTAAATATAGTTTGTGTTGACGTAATTCTCGTGCCCTGTTAACCGTAAGTCCCTAAGGTACAACAACATATATAACTGTAGACTGAGAGATCTCCGGGTTAAATATAGTTTGTGTTGACGTAATTCTCGTGCCCTGTTAACCGTAAGTCCCTAAGGTACAACAACATATATAACTGTAGACCGAGAGATCTCCGGGTTAAATATAGTTTGTGCTGACGTAATTCTCGTGCCCTGTTAACCGTAAGTCCCTAAGGTACAACAACATATATAACTGTAGACCGAGAGATCTCCGGGTTAAATATAGTTTGTGTTGACGTAATTCTCGTGCCCTGTTAACCGTAAGTCCCTAAGGTACAACAACATATATAACTGTAGACTGAGAGATCTCCGGATTAAATATAGTTTGTGTTGACGTAATTCTCGTGTTAACCGTAAGTCCCTAAGGTACAACAACATATATAACTGTAGACCGAGAGATCTCCGGGTTAAATATAGTTTGTGTTGACGTAATTCTCGTGCCCTGTTAACCGTAAGTCCCTAAGGTACAACAACATATATAACTGTAGACTGAGAGATCTCCGGGTTAAATATAGTTTGTGTTGACGTAATTCTCGTGCCCTGTTAACCGTAAGTCCCTAAGGTACAACAACATATATAACTGTAGACTGAGAGATCTCCGGGTTAAATATAGTTTGTGTTGACGTAATTCTCGTGCCCTGTTAACCGTAAGTCCCTAAGGTACAACAACATATATAACTGTAGACCGAGAGATCTCCGGGTTAAATATAGTTTGTGTTGACGTAATTCTCGTGCCCTGTTAACCGTAAGTCCCTAAGGTACAACAACATATATAACTGTAGACCGAGAGATCTCCGGGTTAAATATAGTTTGTGTTGACGTAATTCTCGTGCCCTGTTAACCGTAAGTCCCTAAAGTACAACAACATATATAACTGTAGACTGAGAGATCTCCGGGTTAAATATAGTTTGTGTTGACGTAATTCTCGTGCCCTGTTAACCGTAAGTCCCTAAAGTACAACAACATATATAACTGTAGACTGAGAGATCTCCGGGTTAAATATAGTTTGTGTTGACGTAATTCTCGTGCCCTGTTAACCGTAAGTCCCTAAGGTACAACAACATATATAACTGTAGACCGAGAGATCTCCGGGTTAAATATAGTTTGTGTTGACGTAATTCTCGTGCCCTGTTAACCGTAAGTCCCTAAGGTACAACAACATATATAACTGTAGACTGAGAGATCTCCGGGTTAAATATAGTTTGTGTTGACGTAATTCTCGTGCCCTGTTAACCGTAAGTCCCTAAGGTACAACAACATATATAACTGTAGACTGAGAGATCTCCGGGTTAAATATAGTTTGTGTTGACGTAATTCTCGTGCCCTGTTAACCGTAAGTCCCTAAGGTACAACAACATATATAACTGTAGACCGAGAGATCTCCGGGTTAAATATAGTTTGTGCTGACGTAATTCTCGTGCCCTGTTAACCGTAAGTCCCTAAGGTACAACAACATATATAACTGTAGACCGAGAGATCTCCGGGTTAAATATAGTTTGTGTTGACGTAATTCTCGTGCCCTGTTAACCGTAAGTCCCTAAGGTACAACAACATATATAACTGTAGACTGAGAGATCTCCGGATTAAATATAGTTTGTGTTGACGTAATTCTCGTGTTAACCGTAAGTCCCTAAGGTACAACAACATATATAACTGTAGACCGAGAGATCTCCGGGTTAAATATAGTTTGTGTTGACGTAATTCTCGTGCCCTGTTAACCGTAAGTCCCTAAGGTACAACAACATATATAACTGTAGACTGAGAGATCTCCGGGTTAAATATAGTTTGTGTTGACGTAATTCTCGTGCCCTGTTAACCGTAAGTCCCTAAGGTACAACAACATATATAACTGTAGACTGAGAGATCTCCGGGTTAAATATAGTTTGTGTTGACGTAATTCTCGTGCCCTGTTAACCGTAAGTCCCTAAGGTACAACAACATATATAACTGTAGACCGAGAGATCTCCGGGTTAAATATAGTTTGTGTTGACGTAATTCTCGTGCCCTGTTAACCGTAAGTCCCTAAGGTACAACAACATATATAACTGTAGACTGAGAGATCTCCGGGTTAAGTATAGTTTGTGTTGACGTAATTCTCGTGCCCTGTTAACCATAAGTCCCTAAGGTACAACAACATATATAACTGTAGATTGAGAGATCTCCGGGTTAAATATAGTTTGTGTTGACGTAATTCTCGTGATTTGTTAACTGTAAGTCCCTAAGGATACAGTAATATATATAACTGTAGACTGAGAATTCCTCGGAATAAATATGAAACATTAAGATTATCTGATCGCATTTACAGTTTTCGCTCCTCTCCAACCCGCGACATGTACCTCTCTTAAGAATATTTTCAACTAATTAAAAAGTTTAAAAGATAAAATGAAATGTACCGAGTTCCTAAGTGAGGTTCAAAATCTTTCGAAATGGATGTAGAATTATAATAGGTCCGTATTTAATCATTTTGCACGTAATCCCTTTGTAGTGAACATCAAAGTAAATTACTGTCTATAATCACCTGGGTATTTCTAAAGTCACTCATATGTATCAGTCCTATTGTATTACATGTGATCAACATAGGACAACACACTTGATGACATAAGGAGTTAATTCTCCTTTGATCCTAACCCTTAGTGGAATTGTTTGAAGACTTCCATGGTTAATCAGGTCATAATGAGTGAGGATCAGGAAGATCTGTGACCGATGACATCAGACTCACTCGTGTTCAGATATTAACCTCATGTTTATGAGAAAATCTGTACCACTAGGTAGATGTAAACATTGATATACTCAGCCTTTAAGTTACTCGTGCTGTTTATAACTTCATTCTTTTAACGATAATGTTTTTCTCATTTTTTATCCTGGCATAGATTAGAATATCTGTACGACAAATCTTTTATGTGGTGAAACATGTCAATATTCCAGTCGTTTGGTCGTTAAGGACACGAGCAGTTGATTAGGCATAATCTATCGGGTAAGATAAATCAAATAGGCCCGCTGTCTTAACAAAATATGTTCATAACCCAATTTTACCTACTCTCGAGATAACAAATAAATTTATCCCAGAAAATTTATCTACCAATTCATTAGTATTTGCAAAACACGTAGAATTTTTAAGGCCTTAATGATCTATACAAACCCTTCCTTACCATCTCGTACACTACATATGTCAGTGCTAGCACGCTCCACACTGGTCATTTGTCTGATGAAGGTGACCGTGTAGATCCCGTACACTACGTACGTCAGTGCTAGTACGCTCCACACTGGTCATTTGTCTGATGAAGGTGACCGTGTAGATCCCGTACACTACGTATGTCAGAGCCAGTACGCTCCACACTGGTCATTTGTCTGATGAAGGTGACCGTGTAGATCTCGCACACCACGTACGTCAGTGCTAGCACGTTCCACACCAGTCATTTGTCTGATGAAGATGACCGTGTAGATCCCGCACACTACGTACGTCGGTGCTAGTACGCTCCACCCTGCTCATGTGTCTGATGAAGGTGACCGTGTAGATCTCGCACAGTACGTACATCAGTGCTAGTACGCGTCACACTGGTCATTTGTCTGATGAAGGTGACCGTTTAGATCTCGTACACTACGTACGCCAGTGCTAGTACGCTCCACACCAGTCATTTGTCTGATGAAGGTGACCGTGTGGTCATCAAAACGTCACATTCTAATTTTCTTCAGGTTAAAAACATCTATTCTATCAATGAGTTCTATATAATTCCAAGGTATTCCAAATCATATATATAAAATATCACATTCTTGTAATCAGCTTTTTTTATGTTTTATTTATGTTTTAAGGAGCCTTCATGTTCCCGTACCTTGTGATGTTACTGTTTGGAGGGCTACCCCTGTTCTACATGGAGCTGGCCCTGGGACAGTACCAGAGATGTGGCTGTCTGACAGTATGGGACAGGATCTGCCCTGCATTTAAAGGTAGGTTGTCGTCATACAGATGCACACATGCCGCAGTCGTGTAAAGAGATATAAAAAAATCCAAAAAAGTAAGAAAACAGAAAATACTGTAAAAGCAAGGGAGAAAATACTAGCGTGACAACATGATCTTAATTCAAACTCAAATTCCATAAGACTGCTGTAAAAATGAACAAAATAAAGATTAACACGGTGAAATAACAAGGAGAATAAGACCAGGTATTCCGGAAGAGTAAGCGTCTTCTGCTTCATCGACGACACCCGCCATGTAAACCTTTGTCACGGTATCGTACATAAGACAATGTAGTCCTCTCTAGAGTTGCTGCATTTTACTTACAACGAAATCAACAGAAAAAAACTATTACTGGCCTGTAGACTCGGGCTAGTGATTTCTATACTAAAATAGTCATCTCTCCAAAGGTCTAAACTGTTCGGTGGCAGTATCTGTTAATGTCTGAATGACTTCTATATCCAAAGATTTTTTCTCCTGATATCGTAATGTCTGTGGAAAGTGTTGAGATGAAAGGTGCTTGAAGAGTGTACAGAATTTATAAAAACCTTCATTATGGTCCTCAGCGGTATGATGCAGCTTAATTCATTATTTGACATTTGACTCTACTTTGTCTAACTTTGAAGTTGCCTTGAAACGTATTATTCACTTCAGCATCTTTTGTACAATCTTTGAGATTGCAGGTGTTAGACACTGCTTGTGGACTTTTAGTCGTCCAGATTTGCCATGATCACAAGGTAAAATTCATTCAAATAGTGACACGCATCAACCACGTAGATGAAACAACAAACATACCAACAACTCAATATCATTATAATTCAAACTCAATAAAACTAAGGCGAAATATGAACGAAAGAATGATTTACAGGAAGACTCCTAAAACGTACAAGGAAAATAAGACCAGGTGTTCCCTAAGAGTGTGTGTTTTCTGCTTAATCGACGACATCCACGATGTAAATCTTTAAAAAGTACGTAATGCCATGTTTACAAACGAGAATAAGGTAAACAACGGAACTAACAGGCAAATCAACGGGCGTAGAATACGTCCATCTTCATATCGTACAAAGAATATTTCTCGATGAGCATGAGATCACTATGACCAACGTAAAACTTCCTCACGATTCTCATCAAATTCAGGGTTGTTGCTATCCAGAAATGGAACATTTTCAATAAGGAAAATGAAACCACCGGGATAATTATACAGCTTCGTGGATAGATGTCCATGTTGGTCTCGATGAAGGAATGTTTATGGAGGAGAGTGTGTAGTTTCCTTGAATTTCAGCTCTGGTGGGTATGTCACATTGACGTGGTCAATACATTTCTTTGTATTTAAGACGTCATCGATATATGTTTGAAAGTAAAATTAAGACTTTGCAAAGGCTTCGGTAAGGTTTTTCAATAAACGCATACAAACAAAAGCAAGTCAGTCAACAGAGGGATACAGCTAGTTCCCGTAAGTATACCAATTATCTGTTGAAAGGTCTTACCGCCAAACTGGAAGATGTTGGCAACCAGAAACTCTGCAATGATGTCCTTTTGAAATGATTAGATGTATTGAAAATCGACATGTATTAAGAAATAGGAGCAGTGCGGCTCTCGACACTTTGTTCGATCACTTTTTATTTTCCTCTTAGGATTTAAATTTAGGATTTCAGTATCACTGAGAATGCCGAGATGTACAGCTAGATGTTTAATTCAATGTTTAACTCTGTTGCACCCAACTTATCTAATGTGTATTAAAAAGTAATTTGTTCTTTTTGAGAACTAGCCCTTTAACTTTCAGAACTTACAATTATGTAGAATGCGACATGTGTAAAACTCGCTAATATCTCTGACAATTCCGAAATCACTGCCCCGTCTCTCATTTCGAAAACTATACTCGTATTTGAAGACGATTACTTTTCCAGTCTCATCCATGTCTAGTATTTTAATGGTTGGCATTCTTATCTGTTTATGCATAATGCGCAAAATGAATTGACTGAGTTAGAAGTGATTTTAACCATCATCTTTTTTATTATTTTTTTAAGGAATAGGCCTGGCGATCTGCGTGATAGCTACCTATGTGGCATGGTACTATAACACAATCATCGCCTGGGCTGTCTACTACTTTTTCTCCGCTTGGCGCGCAGAAGTACCATGGCGGACGTGTAACAACCCATGGAACAACAACGAAACGTGTACTGTCTATGAACGGCTCCTTCTGGGGAACGTCACAAACTTACAGAACAATGTCAGCTCCATGAGCAACCTTACAACAACGACCATGGCGTCATCAACAGGTCCAGAGCTCATGCTCAAGTCACCCACGGAGGAATTTTTCGAGTAAGCATATTTTCTTATATATAAATAATGTATATTTCGCCATTATCAAGCTTGGTCAAATTTCAGATTTTAAAGTGAAGTTTGATGTAGAAATTCAAAATTACAAATCGATACAAGACAAGTCATACACTGATACATCAATATGGCAAACTGTCTGTGACGTATCGTTTCGAGAACAGCTCTATTTGTTAAAATTTCGTAATCAGTGACGATGATGATTGGATATATATACATATATCAGAGTTCATACCATTTAAAGAAAGAATATGAAATACAAGAAAAATGTTATTCAAATTGAAAAAGAACGAGACGACGGCAATATACCAAACATACACAGAAAACCTTGCAGCAATACAATAAGTATGCATTTTTTTATTCATATGTGCGACCTGCTATAGAAACTTAGGCCAATCGAAGCAACTAATATCACTTTCTTAAGTTCAAGATTCATGGTAACGGCATCACCAGGTATTCTATCAATCATGGAACACATCTTACTCTCATATCGTAATATGAAACGGAATGCGGTCAATAGGATGGCGGAAATAAAACTCCCTTTAACGACATTACCTAGAATTTTCTCAAAACTTTGTATCATATATCGGCCTATTGACGACATCTTTTGCGGAAGTCGTGATGTTGAGAACAAGCCCTTGATTACTGATCAACCATGGCATCACAGCTAAGGAAAGCAGGGGTATTTCTACCTGGAAACAGATAAATCACAATACGGAACTTGTTATTAACACAATATGATGTCAAAATACAAGCATGTCAACATAAATTTAATCCAAACTCAAATTCAATAAAACTAGGGCAAAATTTGAACAAAAGGAAGATATGTACGGCTACTCCTGAAAAGGCAAAGGAGAATAAGACCATGTGTACCGGAAGAGTAAGCGTCTTCTACTTCATTGACGACACCCGCTATGTTAATCTTGGTCAATTCAAGTGATAGAACTATGGAATTCAATGTTGGCTCCTTTAAAACAGCTAATTTTACTGCTGCCCATTTCATAAAAATAGGTTGTTGCTGGTTTTAATAATTGTGGGAATCCACACGGAACACCATACTTATTCATTGTTTCACAGGACAAAAAAGAAATAGAAAAAAAAGAAAAAAAAAAAAAAAAAAAACGTAACTTCGATTAGAATTCTAATATTGACACATATTTGCGTCAACATGTACAGTAATTCGAATTGAAAGTTCACTATAAAATTCATTTTTATTGGTATTTCTAATTACATTTACAGCATAAAATGACAGTTTTTATTATCAAGACTGAATTTCCTGTGACATGTAGAAAATTCGCATTTGTTGTATGTTCGTTCTGACAAGGATGTGTCGAGGGGACAACTCTTCGCCAGGTTGGCCCGTATGCACAATCCCGAGACTCTAACCAGGGGATGCAATATATATGTAAATCACATGTAAATGGGCGAACACCGTCTCGGTATGTTATGGGATCTCTAGGACAAGTTAAGCCCTGTGTCTTTTCTCAATCAACCCGCTAGGGTTTGTATGGAAACAACTACAAGAAGCACTCTCCCTATTCGTTTTTTAAACATGACATTTTACATCTAAATAAGCTTCTTTAAATTAGCTTTCCGTCTAATTGTGGATAGAACGCAATGATTTCCATTACTTTAGTAATAAGGCATTACTTAGCGGTGTTGCCTAATCTTCCTATTAATCAACTTATACATACTTAGTATATATTCATTACACACACACAAGTAATCAATAATATAGTATTTATATATAGAAAAAAATTGGTCTATAATCACCATCTTTGACTGTACGGCATTAAATGTCTGTGACGTCGTTATCTGTTTATAAATAGAATGTTATACAATTATCAATGAATTAAAATACAAAGATGCCTTCAAGGTTTCCAGATGTAGGTCCATGATATCACTGACGATTCATAGAAGATGAAACAGCTGTATAATGAGTTTATCGATACATTTGGCGGTATCTTATAATGAATTTATATTGAAAGGCACTTTACCCTTGTGTGTATTTTCCTAGAAAAATCAAAGATAAAACCTAAAATCAAAATATTAATCATTTATACCATTGTACAACGTTAAAGTTCTTATCTAATGACGAGATTTCTACACACATAATGTTAAATATAAGCATTGTTTAGATGATATGTCGGTGAGAAATAGAACAACCACACAGCCTGGTCTGAGGGAAGAAAATTGAAGTCACAATATGTGTGCTTTGTCTTTCCTTTTCAGCACATATTACACTATCTGATTGATCCTAGTTCAAGATTATAGTCGTTCGAAGAATCGTTATATTTTTGTATCATTAGCATAAGCTTTCAGCGAAGGGTTAACCCTCACCCAAGCCATGATGGTATTTTAAATAGTTTGGACGTTTAATGGGGGCAGAATGTAGGCAGCTTGGTTTAGAAATATCAAAAAGGGTTGTTATTTTCAAAGCAAAATCGCCGTTACAGTAAGATTTTTGTCTTAGAACTACAGTTTCAGCATATAATGTAGTTTGGAGAGTGGGAAGTTAGGAAAAAGTTCTATCAAGATGCAATGTAATGACAATTAAGTTAAACTCGCCATAACGTTACAATTATATGACTTAAGCCGGAACATATGCATCAGCATAATACGTTATAATCCGAAATTAAACATAGTAACATAGTAACCAACGAACTCTGTCTTAAAGTGCAAAACAATTAAGCTCAAGATATACCTTAATTACATTTTTCAATTTTGTTAGCCGTTTGACTGAAAAAGCAGATTTGATATCGTTGATGACGCTTGGCCTGAATGCACACAAGCTCATTTGGGATTGTTATGTTCCCACTGCAATCCTGGTGTTGAGAAACCTTACATTACTTATCCCAGAGACTATGGAAAAAGACAGAAGTATAAATGATGTTATATGTACATTATCTGGCTGTCTTCTACATGTAAATTGTCACTATGCTTTATTTTAGTCTTAAGTATCCTTTAACTGGAGTGTATTTGTTTTGGCCAATTTATAGAATATTAATCATCGTTTGTTTAAATTACACGATACTTGTACTGCAATATGCCTTTTGATCGGAGGATAATTTCAGTCTATTTTTGTCCTGCTTTATTAAAATCGATTTGTATAAGGTACGAGGTCACTGGAAGACAGTTCCTTGGAACGCAGCTTGCCAGTGAGTGAGAGGATGTGTTGCATCCGTGTTTGTGTTGTCTTGATGCATCACCATTAATCATTATTTATTCAAGGTACATGATAGTTGGGGTATAGTTAGCCACTGGGTTAGAGGATGTGTTGAGTCATTACTTATTTTGTCTTGGAATATACTTATCCATTTAAGGTACAAGGTCCTAGGACTCCAGTATGCCAGTGGATTGGAGGATGTAGGAGGCATCAATTGGATCCTCTGTCAGTGTCTCCTTGCCGTCTTTGTCATTGTTTATTTCGCTATGTGGAAAGGCGTAAAGAGCTCGGGCAAGGTAAAGTGTATGGTATTCCACTGGCTTCAATATATCAATTTGAATTAACAATATTTACACGTTGAATATTCAACATATACAGCACATTAACATAAAGTGTTTCGTACCTGTATCGAAAGCGATCCCCTATATTAAAGTCAGAAAAGAAACAAGAAAAAATTTTCCTGAGAATTTATCCATTTTCGTTTCCCTCATTTCAAAGGTAAGTATTTTCAGTTAGTAGTTTGATAGAAAATATGTAGATGTCTTTTCCCTGAAAATGAACTTGCATGGGCTATCTTTATTCAAATGACGGACTAAGTATATTCAAGTGACATTAACGATAACACACAAAGCAAACACGCAAGTTTTCATATTTGTAATCTGTGGGAGAAAAAAAAGACAATGTGTTGGTAAACCAGGTATGCAACACAGCCATAAGTTAGTGTGTCTTATTAAGCGGTATAGACAGAGAAGTCGGGTAACAAGGGACAACATAGGTCTTCAAACTCGATGCGAATTTGCAAGTTAAGGAGTACACGGAGTAAAGACTACGCGGGCTTCTGCAATGCGAAATAAATGAGTAAAACATTTAACGAAAATGTTTAGTGAGGTCTGAACGAAACAATCGAAAACCATCAATAAATTAAAAATTCGAGTAACCATAACCCCTTAAGAGGGGCTCGAATTTATTAATAAAATGTCCTAGCTTTTGTTGTAGGCTGTATGGATCACCGCCACCATGCCTTACGTCGTGTTACTAATCCTGCTCGTCCGAGGATGTATGTTGGAGGGAGCAGACAGAGGAATCTTCTATTATATCCGGCCTGTTTGGAGTAAATTGAACGACAAAGGTGTAAGTTGATAGAGTTATAATCCCCAAATATATTAATTACAAAACTCAGTATAAGAAATATATTGAGATTGAGGTCATCCAACTGACTGAATTTTCCAGTAAACAATATCTTCCTTGTGTTTGGTAGATGGAAAGATGTTTCATCAAATTATTGGCATCCATGGGATCGAATGGGTCTCTTCTCTCTATGCGTTACATGTGTGTTTAAAAGCTTATCAAACAGCTAAGACATCGATACGCTCATTAGATTCACCTTAATGTATATGTACAATAATAAAATATCTTTCCGATTTAATTACTATAAATTTTCCATTTCTGAGCAACCCTGCCTCTCCGACCTGTTGCGAGTACAAGTTGATTCGATATTGAAAGATGCAGGTTGATGATAATAGGGAAATGTTTGTTTTCGTCTTAATTGTATAATGTGCAAGTATCGTTGTTCCATGCACGATATGCGTTTAGCAGTCTTCAATCTTCTTAATTGGGGCTACATTAATTACTTTGACAAGAGTTTACATGCCTCCCTCGTATAAATTGGATTCCTTACCTTTGATAGAATCAATTAAAACAGCATGTTATTGCTGATCGTCTAGCTCTTCAATCAGACCTTTTTCAAAGCTGCTAACTATCATTCATAGTATCATTCAATCTGGGTTACAGTCTTATGGTGATGTTGTTTACTCAAAACTTATTCTTGTCATCTGAAAACGATTGATTTTCCATTCTGTACACCACCAAACCACATTCAGAGCTGAAAGAACGCCTTACTTTCTTGTTATTTGAGCTTTATTACCCACGAAAGATGAATAGCGGGACCAGTATACATCGAGAAAATACATCCGAATCAAAGAAGTATACGGATGACGAAATTATATTAAAAAAATCGAGTTTCTGATTGACAACTTCTTTTTGGTGGTAGTATCTTCCAAAAGATTATGGAAATTACTTGTTCCCCTCTGTTGGATTTTGTTTTCATACGAGGTTGGAGTTATCGACGACCTCATCAAAACTGGTCACAAAGACCTTGCACAGGCATTTAATTTCAATATATTGATGACGTCTTGTCTTTAAATAACAAAACATTTATTGACCACGTCCATCGTATATACCATCCTGAATTGGAAACCGAAGACACTAGACTTTTCTATACCAGCCGCTTATCTCGGTCTTTTCCTTCAACGAAACCATCGTGGACAGCTTTCTACGAAACTGCATGATAAGCGTGATGTTTTCAGATTCCCTATTGAGAACTATCCATTTCTGCATCTCCAGTCTATGGCGTTTACATGCCGCAATTGATTCGATATTCAATCAATTATTTTTTATTATCACACACAGCGTTTTAAAGATGCAGTTTTATGAAAACAATGAGAAAGTTTTACGGTCGTCATTTAGGTCTCATTGCGAAATATTCTTTTTCTGTGTGCGATACGTGTTTCTGCTCGTTAATTTGCCAGTTTGTTAGAGTTAGGGTTCTCGTACAACTTGTTCAGTTCATATTTAAGAACGTGACATTATTTACTAGAATTGATTTACATGGCGGGTTTTGTCGATGAAGTAGAAGACTGACTCTTCTGGAACATCTTGTCTTATTGTCCTTGTACTTATCCGGAAGTCGTCTTGTCGATGTTTCGTTTATTCATATTTTGCTTCAGTTTTAATGACGTTGAGTCAGGATTGTGATTATGATGATATATTGGTATTTTTTGTTGCGTTTTACCCTAGTTGAAACGAATGTTTTATTTAGCTTCTATTGATATGCCACTACGTTTTGATAGATATACAACACTATTTCTCGAATCTATGGTATTTACATGCCGCAATCGATCTGGTTGTAAGTTGCTTCCATCAGTCAAAAAGCCGTGTGAAATGAAAACACACTGAGGGTCCACAAGATGTAATTCAGTGACGATAACAGGAACTAGTGTATGAAAGTCTTTGTGATATCACAAAGAAATGTTTTCTTTATACAATATACAGTCTTTTTCAAATTTTATATCTAACAAACTTTTTCGTTTAGATATGGATCTCTGCAGCAGCTCAAGTGTTCTTTTCTCTGGGACCAGGATTCGGAGTTTTGCTTGCTTTATCAAGTTATAACAAACTCAACAACAATTGTTACAAGTAAGAGTCATCGCTTAAATCCAGCTATAAAAGGATATCTTTGTCATCACAATAAAATTGTATTTGTTACCGAATTTGTTTTATACAGGAAACTTTCTATTTTCGTCCAGTGTTAAATTTGCTCTCAAATATACAGGTGTTTACAGTTCGCCTTATATACATTAAACCTCTGTATATTTTCGCCCTATTTGTAAATGAGCGAATAGAACGAAAGTTAAACCGCTTTGTTATCTATTTTACAGTGCATCTTTGCAATAAAGTCTATAGAGTCACGACACGAAAATCATATGTGGATTTGGAATTAGGGAAGTGTCAAAATATAAAACATGTTTGAAATTTTTCTTGAGATATTGATTAGTTATATCAGAGTGTTATAATCATTTATAATTATCTATGATAATTTATATCGAGCTCGATATATATTGATACATAACTTCAAATCAACGATCCGGTCCGATAATGATACGTTGCTTGTTAGTAAAATTGTACCCTGTAAATACACAGATTGGTGTTGTGAGGATATAAATATAAAAATGCATTTATCTAAAACGTTTTACTACAGGGATGCCTTGATTACGAGCGGGATCAACTGTGCCACAAGCTTCCTAGCAGGCTTCGCCGTCTTTTCTGTGTTAGGTCACATGTCCTTCATACAGGACAGGCCGGTGGAGGATGTCGCTCGTGACGGTCAGTTATTTTAAAGCTTCGTTTTTTTCATGCATTACTATGTACATCTTATCTAAATTGATGATTAAAACTTTTTCGAGTTTTACTTTCCCTTTTCATTTAATGTTTTTTTTTTCCAAAGAATTAAAAAAACATCGGAAGTTAAAGGCAATATACACATGTACTTTATGCTGTTTTAAAACTATCTGATACATAAAAATTGCAAACTATGTTTAGTTATTGAGTTGCTGCACCACCCAGTTAGATTTTGACTTTGCATTTGATCACTTTGAATTATTATCTGCATACTTCCAAAGTTACAGTACAATACTACATTATCATTTTCGTATTCTTAGTCTATAACTTGTTTACCATCTCGTCACCGTATATGCGACGTTAGCATCACACTCTAATCTTCTACTGGTTGTGTTATAAGATGATTGTAACCATGTAGTCATCGAAACGTCACACTCTAACCTTCTACTGGTTGTGTTGTAAGGACCTCTATTCTATTGGCATTGCCAACCCAAAAAAGGATGTTCCGAAATTACTGTAATTTGATTGGTCAATGACTAAAATGACTTTCTATCATGAAATCCCACTTTTTTTTTTTTTTAATCTTTTATGTCCAATTGCCGTGTTGCCTTTTTTCAATAAACTTCAAATGTACAATATTTAAATCATAGCCCGCTTCTTTCCGCTCCTGAATTGTCATTACATGTTTGTGCATTCTTCCTTAAGTATTCCTTTTATTTCTATGTATTATCAGATGTTGGACTGATCTTCATTGTGTACCCAGAAGCGATATCCTCTCTTAACTTCTCAACCTTTTGGGCGTTACTGTTTTTCTTCATGCTTATAACCCTCGGACTCGACACGACGGTAAGAATCTTTTTTACTAATCATAAGCTTTGTTTGGTTATTTATGATTAAATTTGGGTTTTTATGCAGCGCAAGGACCTAAATGTTCTTCAAAATCTATTATCGATTGATGTTATCGTTTACATACTATTGACTTCGCTATTGCATGTGTAAAGGCTATTGTTGATTTCATCAATAGCCTATAGATGAAGATAAGAGACACTTGTAAAATTCCAGTCTGTATTACTGAATTCAGTATTGGGAAATCAACAGTTTAATCGCAGACTTAATTAATTCCTCGTCTCCATATAGCTAAACACATCTCTATATTCCTTTGATACCTATGATACATTAGATTAATTCTACATCTCAATATGATTAGTGTGTAAACTTATTTGATATTACGTATCTATGACATTTACTTTTTTTTATCCTTTTTCTATATATAAGGGTCATCATAAAGTGCGTGGTGTTTACCTAATAAATGATGTTGTGTGATATTTGAGTACCTGTATGTATACTCTATTTACGTATCACTCTAATAGAAATATATCAGTTAGAGTAAATGTAACACGATTTCAGAAATGTTCTAAAAATTCCAAAATAGTTATAGATGATATCTTGGTATTTGAATAGTTTGGTGGTTTGGAATCGCTGTGTACTGGAATATTGGACGAGTATGTTTTCCTCAGGAAATACCGACAGCTATTTGTGCTCGGTCTAATGGTGTACTGTTTTATAGGAGCGCTGGCCACAACGACATACGTAAGTTACCCAAGTTAGATACTTATTGACACTGTACATCATCCCCATCTATATTTCATCATGGTGTTGTCCCCTTCTCTTTCCTGTCTTTTATATTATCACAGTCGTCCATGATAAGTCAATAATGATCTTATTGTTGACACCAAATTTAAATCAAATGTGTTCTGCGCATGTGTACTTTTAACACGACCTGGTGAGATTTTGATTGCAATATTTTGCTGACGACACCACCTACTTTCTGTTTCGCTTTATGTGTATGGTATTGTAATGAATGTACACGTAGTCGAATTTAGAATATAGAATACATGTCACTAAACCATCCATTTTACACATTTCTGTCGGCTAATTTCATTTACTCACTTATTCACACTATCCTTCAGGGTGGAATATACGTGGTCCAACTGCTGGATTCGTTCGGAGCTCCTATCGCCATCATATTTGTCGTTTTTCTGGAGGCTGTAGCCGTATCGTGGATATACGGTAAGTAATATTGGAGGCCTGTGTTACCTTAATGGACGAAACAGCTGTATGACGTATTTTTTTTAATCATCTGGTTCGACTGTATTTTATGGTGGCATGTAACTGACATCTACTTGTCGTGTTGCAATAATACTTTTTATATTATCATGGTCAAGATAATATCGATATCGCCGAGTCTTTGAGCGTCGACCCGTGATAAATCGATATACCAGGGTCTTAGAGAGGCGACCCGTGATAAATCGATATACCAGGGTCTTTGAGCGTCGACCCGTGATAAATCGATATACCAGGGTCTTAGAAAGGCGGCCCGTGATAAATCGATATACCAGGGTCTTTGAGCGTCGACCCGTGATAAATCGATATACCAGGGTCTTAGAGAGGCGGCCCGTGATAAATCGATATACCAGGGTCTTAGAGAGGCGGCCCGTGATAAATCGATATACCAGGGTCTTAGAGAGGCCACCCGTGATGAATATACCAGGTCCTTATAGGGTTGTCCGTTGATAAAAAAAATCGATATACCAGGGTTTAAATAGAGAGGCCACTGGGGTGATGAAATATACCAGGTATGATAGGGTTGTACATTTTGTTGATAAAAAAAGGTTGTGCTTTATCACCAATTTTCTTCAAATATTATAGGGCATAATATTACATTTCTGGGGTTAAAGAACATTTACAAATATGATTAAGGATGTGTAATACATTTTGTTGTACAACATACGTTTTAATCAGACATGCATGCGTATTTTTGACACTATTCTTCAATCTCTGCTGTTATAGGAGTCAAGTCCTTTGTTTCTGCGATGACATACCGGAGGGTGTGCTGGGCCGTCATCAGTCCTCTGTGTCTGTTGGTAAGTTTAACTAACATACTGGAGGGTGTGCTGGGCCGTCATCAGTCCTTTGTTTCTGTTGGTAAGTTTAACTAACATACTGGAGGGTGTGCTGGGCCGTCATCAGTCCTCTGTGTCTGTTGGTAAGTTTAACTAACATACCGGAGGGTGTGCTGGGCCGTCATCAGTCCTCTGTGTCTGTTGGTAAGTTTAACTAACATACTGGAGGGTGTGCTGGGCCGTCATCAATCCTCTGTGTCTGTTGGTAAGTTTAACTAACATACCGGAGGGTGTGCTGGGCCGTCATCAGTCCTCTGTGTCTGTTGGTAAGTTTAACTAACATACTGGAGGGTGTGCTGGGCCGTCATCAGTCCTTTGTTTCTGTTGGTAAGTTTAACTAACATACTGGAGGGTGTGCTGGGCCGTCATCAGTCCTCTGTTTCTGTTGGTAAATTTAACTAACATACTGGAGGGTGTGCTGGGTCGTCATCAGTCCTCTGTTTCTGTTGGTAAGTTTAACTAACATACTGGAGGGTGTGCTGGGCCGTCATCAGTCCTCTGTGTCTGTTGGTAAGTTTAACTAACATACTGGAGGGTGTGCTGGGCCGTCATCAGTCCTCTGTTTCTGTTGGTAAATTTAACTAACATACTGGAGGGTGTGCTGGGCCGTCATCAGTCCTCTGTGTCTGTTGGTAAGTTTAACTAACATACTGGAGGGTGTGCTGGGCCGTCACAGTCCTTTGTTTCTATTGGTAAGTTTAACTAACATACTGGAGGGTGTGCTGGGCCGTCATCAGTCCTCTGTGTCTGTTGGTAAGTTTAACTAACATACTGGAGGGTGTGCTGGGTCGTCATCAGTCCTCTGTGTCTGTTGGTAAGTTTAACTAACATACTGGAGGGTGTGCTGGGCCGTCATCAGTCCTCTGTTTCTGTTGGTAAGTTTAACTAACATACTGGAGGGTGTGCTGGGCCATCATCAGTCCTCTGTGTCTGTTGGTAAGTTTAACTAACATACTGGAGGGTGTGCTGGGCCGTCATCAGTCCTTTGTTTCTGTTGGTGAATTTACCTTACATACTGGAGGGTGTGCTGGGTCGTCATCAGTCCTCTGTTTCTGTTGGTAAGTTTAACTAACATACTGGAGGGTGTGCTGGGCCGTCATCAGTCCTCTGTGTCTGTTGGTAAGTTTAACTTACATACTGGAGGGTGTGCTGGGCCATCATCAGTCCTTTGATTTTGTTGGCAAGATTCAATTACATACTGGAAGTTGATATTATATCCTCTAAAAGATGTATTCGGAAGTTACAACAACCCTTACTGCGTTCCACCGTTTTGTAAACTAGACATTATCAAAAACAGTATTGCTTTTGGATAGTTTTATTTGTATATTAAAAATAGAAAACAAAAATGTGAAAAAAAAATATATGAAAACTTGTATTATTACATCTGGCTACATTCTGGAAATTAACTTCAAAAGATGTTTGGTCAATGATTTGCGACTTTTGTGTTCTTACATTATGGAAACAAGAATGAATATGCGTGGCTAATATCACTGCAATATGAGAGTGAATATCTTGATTTTCACTTTATCGTTCCATCTTTTTTATTTTCCACCGTCGCTTCTTTACAGGCTTCAAAATTTAGGCCTTTAGTATCACTGAGGAGTGCTAGAAGTGGGAAACAGCTGTTTTCAAGTCTTTGTTTGGTTCTTATATATCTAGCTCTAAAGTTATAATACAGATGCTAGTCACATGTGTATCTCTGTACAATTTAGGAAACTACTAATATGTTAACAAATATTCTATCTAAAGACAAAGACAGCTGTCATCAATTGTGATTGTTTGCTATAGATTATTTCACCTGCATTCTTCTTTTCAGATTCTGTTCATCCTGTCGCTGATCGACCCGATGCCTCCGCAGTACGGCTCCTATGAATTTCCACAATGGTCATTTATTTTGGGATGGGTAATCGTCTGTTCGTCTCTAATCTGCATTCCCGGTTATATGATTTACAAGTTCATCATCACCCCAGGCAACCTCCGCGAGGTATATTGTTATTAAAATTATCATATCTGTTATAGAAAGTAATAATTATGTGGCTGAGATATCCTGTGTTACTTATCACGTGAAAATAAAATATTGACCAACCATCAGAGCATAATTATGCGCATTATTTCAGAACGTTTGGTTACTTTGTTAAGGATTTGAGAGGTCTGTAATATTGTTACGGCCTGCAATCATCGACTACAAGGTTCAAATATGACATTAGATCATTTTCTTTAACAAAACAAGTTTATACATACAACTATCGACACATCATATCCATGGTGGAACACCTGACAAAGGTGTAAATTTAGGGTACTGTATAGATAACTTCACTGTAAAACTTTTCTATGAAATGGACTAAGTCTTGAGAAACACATCGTCGTTGAAGCATGGCGCGACACGGCGCGTTGCATGTTGTTTAAGTAGGCTTACTTACGTGAGACTTGTGGAAACTATGAATCACTGGGTCGCGTGAAATGCAGTGGTAGAGTTCCTGTCACCATACACATTGCAGAAAAGTTACACTTGGTTTGGAAAAGCAGTTGTAAACATTACGAAGTTGTCGGGTGTCGCAAATACTGGCGCATATAAATCACTGAAGCGTGTAGCTGCGGTCATGTGGAACATTACCGACACTAGATCGTATCAATTACCTTAGTCAAGAGTATGCTATCCTATCCGACACACAGTATGGTCAGCCAGTCAAAAAGTACTCTGTCTCGTCTGTTTTTCCTCGTTACCCAGAATGCGTTTCTCTACTCAGGGTCGGAAGAACGTTTTTGTAACAACCTTTTCAATTTCGTTTTGGTTGTACGGTACCAGCGATTTTCAATTTCGTTTTGGTTGTACGGTACCAGCGATTTTCAATTTGGTTTTGGTTGTACGGTACCAGCGATTTTCAATTTGGTTTTGGTTGGACGGTAACAGCTGTTTTCAATTTCGGTTTGGTTTGACGGTAACAGCTATTTTCAATTTCGTTTTAGGTGTACGGTAACAACTATTTTCAATTTCGTTTTGGTTGGACGAAACAGTTATTTTCAATTTCGTTTTGGTTGGACGGTAACAATATTTATGATTGAACTTGTATCGACGTTTCGTAGTCTTTTGTTACTTGCGCCATTTTTATGACAATTCGGGATAATTCGGAATAACTTATATACACGCCTTTAGAATTCTCAATATAAATAAATGATGAAAGGTCTCCCAGCCAAATTGTAAGCAATGTACATTTTGCCATAATGGCGATGATGGCAGCTATCGATACGCGAATATCCGACGAGAAGGCCAGCTGTAAACTGGACAAAATCCGTTGTTGCGTTCTTTCAATTTATTATTTGTTGCGCTCCTTTTGTTTCGATGATAAAGATTTAGTTATTGTAGAACATTTTACTTTCACAGTAATTAAAATGAAAAAAAAAAACAATAACTAAAGTAACCGTAGAAATACAGATATGAAATTTTATTGATTCATTTTTTTTTTTTTTTTTTTATACATTTTTTTTTTGGTTTATTTAATTTTTTGTTTTGTTCAGGCGTTTCATTTAAAAACACATGTAAAATGCGGTTCATACCCCACTAAACGTCAACAAGGTAGAATTCTTTCTTAAATAATATGCAAGATTATACATTTCTTGTTTGAAGCTCAATTTCGCTATGTCATACACAGCGATTAGAGAAAGTACATTTCCTTGATCACCCTTTTAAAGTCTGCGATTTGAATGACACACTTAAATAACGAAATTACTAAGATAATGTTGAACAATTTATTTTTTCTGTTATTACCCGGAAAAACAATTTACAAAATTAAGCCGGTAAACGAAAAACACTCTTTAGGAACACGGTGGACAATCCTCTGCAAATACGATATTTCGTTGTTCTCAAGCAGTAGAAATACGAAAACTTTCTTTCACTTTATATACTTTTTATCATTCACTTTGACATTTATGAAACTTTTTTTTTCTGGTATGCTTCATACTATTTGTGGCAGAGCAAATGTTTATAGAGGAAAACGAAGGTTTTTATCGGCGCATTGTTCCATCAATAATTCTGTCATGCACTTGTTTAAACATATGTCTGTTCTTAGCAGTTGCGAAACATCGATTGTTTACGTGATAAGAATACGGATATACAACGATTTGTTGGTTTCGGTTTGATTTTAGTTTATCAACCTAACACAAAGAACAAAATACAAGCAAACTTGGTTTAGCCATCAAATCTTTCTCGTGCTTGTTTTAGTTTTCCCTAATTTAGTATGTAAACCCTTGTAATCGATCAATACTCGATAACATAGATCATAAAGTAGAATATATTCTAAACCAGCCTTGTTAAAATAGTGTCGTCTTGTTGTCTAACGTCAAAGAGCGTGCTACTATTTCCTGAACTTTGTGCTCGTGAAAAATGTAGATATTCTGTCATATATATATATATATAGATAAGGTCGTCGCACCATTTAATAGTCATTAATGAATGGTGCTATAAAATATGTGTAGGACGCATTATAATCATCAAAATATTTTTTTTTCTTTTACAGAGAATACTTGTAATGTTTACTCCCATCGAAGTACCGAGTCACGCCAAGGAACCTGCATTGCCAGCCTTCGTCTAAAAGACTAGAAGAGGAGTTAACAAGTGTATATGGACCAATGAAGACATGAGCAGAAATCGGTGCCTATAATATAACCATTGGTTTTGTATATCTAAGTAAACTTAAGTATTAATCACATGATCCCCGTGTTATTGGTGAGAATAGTGTCAGACTATAACAAAAGCTCGGATAAATCGGTCTACATATGTAAATAGTTTACCGTGTGTATGAAAGCTGTTTTACTCCAGCTAACATCATGATCAGTACACCATACTAGCCCTTTGTACGTATGACACAGTTAATTTCATTGGAAATTGATAGAAATTGGTAAATGATGACCATTTAATGAATTAAGTATGATATATCGTCATGTTTTTTACTTGCCGTGGTCTTAACAATCAGCTTCAGTGTTAATTCTTTACACAAGTAAGGAAACTGAATTATGTTTACTGATGACGTCATAATGACTTTATTTTCCGCCTTGTTGCTTACGTCATTAATCACCAGTATCGCTTCGATGTACCTACTTTGTATATTCATTGATGATTGTAGAAATTTCATAGCGTTCTGTGTTATTATTGTGTGAACATTTTCGGATGATATTTACAATGTATTCATGGGGTATGCCAATAATGATATTATATAGTTTAATTCTGACTTGCTATATTTTTGTGATATCGTTTACTATTTCCTTGTTCATGTCAGTGATTACTCTATCCTGCTGTATTTTTGTGACAACAAGGATCATTCTTTGATCATGTGAGTTGACTCTCTCGTGTTATATGTTTGTTACATCGTTAGTGATGATGCTTGTAATAACATTTAATTCTCCCCTGCTGTATTTTGCGACATTGTTGGTTAAATCTTTGAAAACGTCAGATCAATAATAACATTTAATTCTCCCCTGTTGTGTTTTGTGACATCGTTGGTTAAATCTTTGAAAACGTCAGATCAATAATAACATTTAATTCTCCCCTGTTGTGTTTTGTGACATCGTTGGTTAAATCTTTGAAAACGTCAGATCAATAATAACATTTAATTCTCTTCTGTTGTGTTTTGTGACATCGTTGGTTAAATCTTTGAAAACGTCAGATCAATAATAACATTTAATTCTCCCCTGTTGTGTTTTGTGACATCGTTGATTAAATCTTTGAAAACGTCAGATCAATAATAACATTTAATTCTCCCCTGTTGTGTTTTGTGACATCGTTAGTTAAATCTTTGAAAACGTCAGATCAATAATAACATTTAATTCTCCCCTGTTGTGTTTTGTGACATCGTTGGTTAAATCTTTGAAAACGTCAGATCAATAATAACATTTAATTCTCCCCTGTTGTGTTTTGTGACATCGTTGGTTAAATCTTTGAAAACGTCAGATCAATAATAACATTTAATTCTCCCCTGTTGTGTTTTGTGACATCGTTGGTTAAATCTTTGAAAACGTCAGATCAATAATAACATTTAATTCTCCCCTGTTGTGTTTTGTGACATCGTTGGTTAAATCTTTGACTATGTCGGCAATAGCCCTCAAACACTACAATGTGCTTTCCCATCTTGATTACAACTTCACAATGATTTACTATGAAACAAAAATAAGTTGCCGAATTCAGTTTCAAATTATTTTATTACGCTCTTTAAACAATTTAGTAAAACTAACATATAATTCACATAGCTTAAGATGTAAGTTTCTGGTACCGACCTAATTTCCAAGTTTTAATCCAGATGGATCTAACGTTCTGACGAATGTCCATTTCAGTTCAGGTTTACGGGTCATACGAATTATGTCTGTATGTCAAGAAAGCCGATGTATAGAATGGCAAGAACTAGGCAGGAAGGAAGCCTTGATATGATAAAGAAGGTGTGAATAGCGTTCGAGGTCTTCAAATAAATCGCAAAAATGTCAAGAACTGGGCAGGAAAACTGTTAATGATAAACAGAGCGTGTACAGCGTTCGAGATTTTCAAATTAGGCACAAAGATGGCTTGGTAGAATTGGGCAAAAGACCAATGTATTCTAAAGAGGGTGTTTCGACTTTTGAGAGCATCGAGTTAGGGCTCACAAATGGCTGGAACTGGGCAGGAAGAGGGGTAGGTCTTACTGTTATGTTATAGAATCGATCTGCCTATGAATACCTTTGTAAATACTATAAAACCTAATTGATCATGTTTGTAATGTCATTGTATGAAATGGATTATGTCAGTTGAACTTAAAGCTTAAAGGAAATGTAACGAAATTTGTCTTTTAATTAATTTGTGTCATGGCTTGGTATCGAAAGTAACCTGTATTTACTGAAGGAAATTTTCGTGGAATGACTTCTCGAACTAAAAAGGACTAAAAGGACGCGTGTATATGCACTCAAAAGAAATATGACTCCTATAAAGTTCTTAAAGCCACTTCCTACTGACAACAACCTGGGTATGTTATAAGATGAAATAACGTCGTTATTACAAATGTATCTATTAATTTACATGTATGCGTTTGGTATATACAAAGAATAATATTGTAGTAGCTTGTGTGACAATGCTTATAATGTAATATTTCACCACCGTGAAATGTCCAATTAATTATATTGGAGCTTATGTATATAAGGTTAAAGATGTTATGTTCTTTGTATTTTACTATAACTATTGACGGTTATATTCTGTTAGTGATTCAGGTTTACCGCCAGGCCTGGCACTAGACTTGATACAATAACACATATAACGATGAAATTACGTTCACTGCATCAACTTTGCAGTCAGACTCGGCACTACAACGGCCCAATCCAAATAGCAAACATGTCGATAGAAATTAGGTCACTACGTTAAATTTACTTTCAGACCAGTCACGACTTGGGTCAAAGTGATGAACTTGTTGATAGAACTTGTTGATAAAAATTAGGTCACTACATTAAATTTACTTTCAGACCAGTCACGACTTGGGTCAAAGTGATGAACTTGTTGATAAAAATTAGGTCACTACATTAAATTTACTTTCAGACCAGTCACGACTTGGGTCAAAGTGATGAACTTGTTGATAAAAATTAGGTCACTACATTAAATTTACTTTCAGACCAGTCACGACTTGGGTCAAAGTGATGAACTTGTTGATAAAAATTAGGTCACTACATTAAATTTACTTTCAGACCAGTCACGACTTGGGTCAAAGTGATGAACTTGTTGATAAAAATTAGGTCACTACATTAAATTTACTTTCAGACCAGTCACGACTTGGGTCAAAGTGATGAACGTGTCAACAATAAATATGTCCCTGTACCCGATTTTTATTCAAACCTGACACGGAATGGTAAACATGTCAATAGATTCTAGAAAACGGAAACAAAACAATCGCTACAATTGTTTATAATTAATTATCTGATGTAATCGTATCTTTTAAAAGTATGTAATGTTTAAACAGTTCTGGAACGTGCAGGTGCGCAATGTGTCACTAGGTAAACGCTTGGATAGAGAAACGTAGCGTTTTGTCATATGTACACATATGTAATGTTTATACTCAAAGTTCAATTCTACTCATATGTAATATAATAACTTACCTAAATATTATACTAGAATAGAAATATATTATAAAAATGTTAAATGAAAGTATAGTGTTATCATTATGCAATTAATTATCGCTGTTTACAACTATATTAGTATCATTTCAAGTTATTTAGAAACGGTTTGAGTACAAACACATCATTCATTATCATTATCAAAAACATGTTTTTTCATCATCATTTATACATATATATGTTTGTCTGATATGTATAATCACACCTTGTACATGTTTTCTTAAACCATTGTTTCTTTACAGGACTTTCGAATATGTTTAAACTCTTGATATGACAATACAATATTTACTCAATCCATATTCTGTCATAGTTTATCATATTTTATATCTGTTTGGTGACTTAAACGGAAAACAATTATTTTGAAACAGTTTTGTACATTGAGATATATGTCACAATGTACATATCATGGCATGTTTGTACTTTTTTTTGTGAATTTTACATTACTATTTATACAAAAATGTATTAACCACATATTTATAAGCTGCAAATATAACTGGAGTGCTGTAGGGATAAATCGTGTAACCTACTACTGTGGTCCTGGAACATCTTTGATGTAATGATATACCACACCTAATGTAAATTATTAAAAAGTCTTAGTTACGACAGAAAGTTAAAATATGTCTGTTACAGAGTCAGGTTGACACAACATCATTTCCCTACAGTAAAGGTCTGAACATTGCTTCCGATTTCATAAAGTGTCAAGCTTTGAAATTTCTATTAGAAGAATCTGAATCTTGAACGAAGGGAGATAAATCTCTAGAGCTACGTATCTAAACGTATTATTAGAAATACCGGTAACGATGTTGTATTGTGTTAAAAGGTGTAACAGGTGCGAACCAGCTTTCTCGACCGTTACATCACGTGATGATCATGTGATAGACTTGTGATAGTTAGTTGTTATTGTTCAGAGTTTAATCATTGTTTGTAAAACAGTATATTAATACAAATCATCACAATAAAATTATATATGTATCTTTTTCTATTTTGCTTCGTTTTCATTTGAGAGTATATGTCTGGATTATAGCTTCAAGTATAGAGTCCCTCAGATTCTAACGAGTCAATATTAAATTTTCAGGGGGAAAATCACATCTAGAATCACTTGTATTCATAAAGACAATTACTTAATGATTATAGAATTGGGTTTTTACGGAAGCGTATTCCGGCCACTTTGTGTTTTATTTTCGACTTACTAACTCAAACTTTCGAGTTGCCATCTCAACATTTCGCGTTGCTATCTCGAAATCACGGTTTATTTTCTCAAAATTTCGGATTACTAACTCAACATTTCGAGTTGCTATCTCGAAATTTTGGTTTATTATCTCAATATTTCGGATTACTAACTCAACATTTCGAGTTGCTATCTCGAAATTTCGAGATAAAATAAAACACAACGTGGTAGAAATACGCTTCCGTATGTTTTAGCAAATAGCAAAATAAAATAAACTATCATCAGTTTTCAGAGAGTATAAAA